ATGTTTTATATATATAATAAATTTTATTTTAATTAAAATAATAAATAAACGAGTTTTTGTTTCTATTTGTGTAGTAAAAACTTATGAAAAAAGGTGGGATTTGTTCTAGAGATTTCTTCTAATCTTTGATATTCGAGAATAATGTTTTGGTCGGTCATAAATGCTGATCTGTTAAAGTGGGATATTTCAATGTCGTTCCAATTAGGACATCTGCTAAGGGCTACATAAGCTTGATCAGGAAAAAAAATGTTTTCATCTAATGCAAGAGATACTCTTGATAATGTTAAGCCTTGAGTCTTGTGAATGGTGAGGGCGAAACAGTTCTGTAAAGGGAATTGCGTACGATGACAATTATTTACATTAATTTCAAAGTAGTAAGTTTCTTTATAAATATCTATGTCAACTATAGACCCTCTGATAGAAAATGCAATTCGCGCAAATTGATTTATGGGATCTACGTCAGTAATTACGCCTATAGTACCATTACATATTCCTCGTTCAATTAGAGAATTGTTAAGGTACATGACACGCACACCTGGCTGTAAACGGACGCATGATGGTAAATTCGTTTTTGATTTGAACATTTGTTCAGAGGTTAAAGGGTCCTATTCAGAGGAGTTTATAAAATCGGCGGCTCGTGATATTAGAAATTTATCGTCAAGAGTTGGTAGCAGGTCACACACCATTCTGTTGATTCGTTGTGCATTTTCTCTAAATCTAACAATATGAGTAGTGTTAAGCATTATATCGATTACGGGTCTTATTAAAAATTGTGAATGATGCTGCTGTAGCATCTGCTACATGTTTTCAGAAATGTTACCAGTTCTTACTTCTTCTAGGAGAGTAAAAAACTGAGGGTCGCTATTTTGACATTGAGAAGTTTTAAAAATAACGGGTAGAATAATTGCCAAACTGCTGCATGAAAAACAGATTGACCAGTAATAGGGGGAAGTTGTGCAAGATCACCCACGATTATAACATTTATACCACCAAAAGCGAGAGCATTTGTATAGAGGTTTGCAAATAAATTAGAGATAAAATCTAATAATTCAGCAAAAACCATAGAGATTTCATCAACAATGATGGTATCAACTTTTTGTAAATGGGTCTTTAGTTCGTTGTCTGTTAAGGCATGTGTTTGAAAACCTCCTTCAGTAGATAATATGCGCAGTTCTGAGTGAATAGTTTTGCCTCCTATATTTTGGGCTGCTACGCCTGTAGGAGCTAATAATAGGTATGTCGAACGTCTTCTATTAAGCATATTGATGATCATATTGATGATATACGATTTTTCTGTTCCAGCTGAACCGGTTATAAAGTAATATGGCCACTTAGTACCGTTGTTTGGGCCCATATATGTAGAGATAGTTGATAATGCATGGTATTGATCGTGGGGTAATTCGAGTATGGCTACCGTCGGAAATATTTGAGGAAGAATTTTTAGATTTTCCATTTGAATTTGTATAATATGGTGAAGGTTGTTTGGAAGTTGTTCGCTTAAAGACAATAGTAACCTGTTGAGCATTTGAATGAATTGATTATTTAGACGTGTAAGTCGAGAGTGTTGTGTGATTGTTGATTGAGTTTGTAAGTTTAATAGGAAGTCTGGAAAAAGAAATAAAAATTTATCTCTGTATGTTTCACTCGAGTTAGTCTTATAATTAGATTCGTTTCTTGCAGGGACTTTTAATAATAATTGTTGATAAAAATATAATTCACCATCTTCTATATTAAGGAATCGGTATCTAATTAAGATTTCTTTTGCTTTTTTTATGACATAATTAGATAAATCGTCACGATAAACATGACATGGCATGGATGGAGGTGGCGAAGGAGTGATTAAATACTTTTCAAAGTATTGAGGATAAGTGAGATTTTCAAATTCTGGATCGTGGGGAAATAAAGTGATGGATCGACAAATCGATAAAATTAAAGTATCTATTCGTTTCGTTCTATATGAATAAAAAGGTC